ATTTATACATATGATAAGATAACTGAATTAGTATTCGCGTATCTTATACATTTTATATATGCATATATATAAACATAAAACATGTAAAAACCGATATGTATTTGTCTTCACGGTAAACTTTCAGTGCGTAAAAATTGGTATCAGTTATAATAAAAATGACATAATCATAGGGTTGGGTTCACGTGAAACCAAGAGTTTTTCGTGAGACCCGTAAGACCAATTTATGTTCATTGATCAACTTTATAAACTAATGATCTAATGGTCTAAAGTTGCACGGTGACAATTTTGTGATTATTGAGAAGTCTCGTGGCAATTTTGTGATTATGAAATATGAATGTTCATATTGTAGATCTAATCCAATGGTTGAGAATTGGTCTTACGGGTCTCACGAAAAACCTTTGGTCTCACATGATCCCAAGTCTATAATCATATTTGTCTAACATCTTTTATAAAATTAGTTTATAAAGCTCATACAAACTGCTTCGTTTTCATGGTTAGAAACATGAATCTTACAAACGAACCTAACGTTAGAAATATCTAATTCACATAAGTCGGGTAGGTTCCTCTTTTGGACGATGGGTCATCATCAAACTGAACAAATCAAAACAAGAATTAAACGTAAATCTTTTAATAATATCCAAAACATTCCGTCTACATGAATCAAACAAATTTATCCCTCTTCGGAAAACAATTTACAGAGAAATGACGTTGTATGTTTGGTACAGGGACAGAACATGACAGGCGGAGAACTGTAGAAGGTTTTAAAGTTTTAATCTGATATAAATAGTTTGGTATTTCTCAATCTTGTTTATCTCTCTAATATTTGTTCCCTATAGGGGTGGGTTCAAATAAAAATCACTCAATTTGTAAAAACCGTGAAAACCTCATTCAACCAATCATAATTTTTCATTTTGTTCATTTTTTTATAATTATAAGAGGTTGATTAACCATTTTTATTGTGGATGGTGTTAATCATAGATATTATCATCTTCATTATTTTAATTTTAAAGAAATACATGAAACAGTTTCATTAAAATTTCATTAAGTAGTATATGAAACAATTTCATAACCACATATGAAACAACTTCATCAAAAAAAATATTATATGAAACAATTTCACAAGATTAACAATTTCATGAAAAAATTTAATAAGATTAACGATGGATGAGAGTAGTTTTTACGGTTTTTACAAGTTGGAGCGGTTTTCATTTGATCGCTCCTCTCTCTCTCTCTCTCTCTCTCTCTCTCTCTCTATATATATATATATATATATATATATAAGTTTTGAAATCACCCAGAACATATGCTCCCTTTTTTTCCTAAGTTTTGAAACCATGACTAGCATCACGAGAAGACAAATAGTTCAGATTGTTCACGTGTATACCGTGAAGGCATCAAGTCTTTTTTTTTTTTTTGTCGTGATTCAAGATCTCTCTAACTGTGAGGTACAATTTTGAAACACGCAAATTATTCCGGTTCATATGGGTCCTTTGAGGGTTACGGTTTCTTTTTTCGTTGTGCTTTAGATCCCATAACCCAACAATAAGACCACTAAATTTCTTTCTAGCGGCTTTTTTATTAAAACAACAAGGAGACGTTTGAGTTGATGGAATAATTTTGAGAGATTTAGATTTTATGGAAAGATTTGGAATTAAAGAGGTTTAGATTGGAACGATTTGGAATGTATTTGTAGGAATTTGGATTTCAAATTCATCCAATCCCATGTTTAGTTGATTGGATTGTTCGAATTTGAAATCCTATGATTTAATTGAAAAATCCTACAAACATAGGATTTTGAAATCCTTAGAGGATGCTCGAGAATTCACAGGATTCCGTAAGAATGTATGAAATAAAAGGTTCTAAAAACTGTTAAAAAAAACATTTGTTTTGTAATAATCGATTACTAAAAATGTAATTCAATTATTTCCAAATCCTAAACACCAATGGTTTCAAATTCATTTCAATCCAAATTCCTCAAAAACAGTACCGACAAACCAAACGGACTCTAAACAAAAATCAAGATTTATCTCGATGCATTGCACGAGTACCCTTCTAGTAGTTTAATAACAGATGGTAGCTAAGACATAAGTGGAATCTAATGAGAGAATAGAATGCCAAAATGGTGATATTTTTCACAAAAGAAGTTGAAAAGGTCAATTCCTTAGAGACTGAAAAATGCTTCCAATTAATGATGCATACCTAAGAAATTTTGTACTCCATGTCATTTCAAACCCTCCATATATTTATTTTTCCAATTAAATTTTAATATTTCTTATTTTTAAAAATAGGTTTGTGCAACGGTTGACATTTATTGGATGTGAGGGGAACCGAATTGATACAATCATTCATTGGATGTTGGATTTTGCCAATTGAACCGATCCGATTTATATTGGATAACCGATTCAATCCAATCCAATGGATGATTGGATCGGTTCGGTTCCATCTATTGGAAACTTTTATTAGATATCCAATGGATGATTGGATCGGTTCGGTTCCATCTATTGGATACATTTATTAGATATCCAATGGATGATCTGATGAGATTAGATTCATTCAGTGTGTTAATTCAATCCAATTCTTCAACAATGATACAAATTAATTAATCATTTTTAAAATGTGTTAAAACCAATACAAGAGAAGTTAAAAATTCAAAGCCTCACGTAAAACAAATTCCGATTAAAGCAATTTGAAAATAAATTAATTGGATGATAGTTGGATAATGGTTTGATGGACAACTGGATGGTTATCAGATAATTAATTGGATGTTGATAGGTTCGGTTCTAGTCTGTCATCCGAGAACCGACTTATCCAAATTGGATGTTGAAATCTTCAATCTAATCCGATCCAATAACAATTGAATACCGATTATGGTCGGTTGGTTCCAATTGAATCGGTTGATTTTCTACACACCCCTAGTTAAAAAACATACAACCACAAGGGTGGTGCCTGATTGATTTGAGTTTGGCTCCAAAGGTCAAAAGTACAAGGAGGTCTCATGTTTAAATCCAATGAGGAATAAAAATCCCCTTGTGGCCACGGATATTCAAATGCTGTAATTCTGGGCTATCTGCAAAGCAGGTGGTCGCCCTGGGATTCGTCGGCTCGCATAGCGGGTTGGATATCCAGGTTAATAAAAAAAACATACATCTAAACCCCTTTTAACTGACATCAATTATGGTTGACAAGGTTCATTTGAACGTTAAGAAAAACAATATTACTTTCTAATATTCGGTTAAAATTTGTTTTGAATAAACAGAGAAATGGTTTACATACGAATACTGATATGATGTTTATAGTTTAGGTTTGTGAGCAGGCGTTTAGGTGAGTTGTTACGTTTTAGCTAGCGGTATTTTTTCGTAAGCTACAAAAGTCCAACAAGACGTACGTGCATGGCCTACTTCAAGCAATTAATAGAACGAGGAGTGATTGTGATCTTAGAGATTGTTTTTTTGTGTTGAAGTTACGGGACCAAGGTACCATGCCTCCTTGATTGGATTCCGATTTCCCGACATTGATAACTTGGATCATTATCGCTTGTAGGCCACAAAGTCTTGTTCGTCTTGACTTGCTAAGTATAGTTGTCGGTATCAACACAAGTTGTTACTAAATGAGCCCTAAAGTCTAATAAGGTATTGGAAATGCGAAAAGAAAGGGTTTGATTCGACGTGTTGCTTCCCAGAAACCATATTTTATGTTTAATTTTGAATTTAAGGGGCATTTGGGTCACATAATGTTTTTTGAACGAATGAAATGTGTCGAAATTGAATCAGGTTTGACCATGCATTTGGTATGAAGTTGAATCAAGTTTGACCACGTGTTTGGTTGACATGCACTAAATAAAATGGAATCTATCAAGAAAATTTTGGAATATGATTGTTTGGTTCACAAACTATAACTTTGGAATTGTAATGAATTAATGATAAAAGACAAAAATACCCTTTTATAAAGTGTTTGTATTTTCTTGCTTAAATTATAAATAATAAAGGGCATAAATGGCATCCATGAATCAAGGGTGGTGAGTTTGAATCTTTGTTCCCCATTTGACCATTCAAAAGGTAAAATGGTAAATTGCATGAAAATGTAACGAATGTTAACTTGATTCTTATTTTGAGTAACGTACTTTCAGAACTTTCATTTTGATATTTAAGATGTAAAGTTTTAAACATTTAAGTACTCGAGTAACTGATTGAAATATTAACTGGTTGCCATACTGATGTGGTGAGTGATAGGATGAAATTGGGTTGAATAGCAAATAATACTGAGTTGGATGCCATTGCCATATCAACCGGTTACTTAAATGTTTAAAACTTTACATCTTAGATATCAAAATAAAAGTTTTTAAAGTACATTACACAAAATAGGAATCAAGTTAAAGTACGTTACTTTTTCATGCAATTTACCCAAAGTAAAACAACTCCTCCTCGAATAAAATCTGCATCATGAATTCACAATTAATAATAGAGAGATACAATTTTTTATTAACCTGGATATCCAACCCGCTATATGAGCAGACTAATCCCAGGTCGACCACCTGTTTTGCAGATAGTCTGAAGTTACCGCATTTGAACCTCCGTGGCCATAAACGGATTTTTATTTCTCCTTCGATTTAAACCTGGTACTTTTGATCTTTGAAGTCAAGCTCAAACCAATCAAACATCACCCTTGTGATTAATAGAGAGATAGAGTTATGTGTATGTATGCCATGCCACACACTTGTTATAAGAAACATGGATCAATCAGGGGAAAAAAAGGAAGTTCACATATTCCTAGAACTAGACATCAACAAGATCATCACATCCACATATCAAACCAAACAAACCCAGTATAATTCATCTAAAACAGGGGTTTAAAAGGATGAGATGTACGTAAAGCTATCATGATATAACTCACAAATAAAGAACACAAACCAATACGTTTGGTATGCAAAACAGAACAAAAACTTGTTTGAAAATGTTTTTGCATAGATAGGACCATGTTTTTAATTGAGAGGGACAGGTTTGGAAAAAACTTGGCATTCTGCATAAAGCTCTCCCCTTAGAGGAATGTTTGAGATAAATAGAATGAATCAATCCAGGTTACAAAATGTTATACATTCAACAGTGAGGAAAAAAGAGCTTTAACAGTTAAGGAATCCCCACAGCCTTTGAGATATCGGATGCGTATTCAACGCATTTTGTATTGTTGGGTTTTCGAGATGACACTACGTCGACCGTTTAACGAGTACTTGAGGGTAATGTCGACATCTCGAGGATTCTTCTTGTTTTGTGCCACGGTCATGCTTCCAACAATGGATTCCCCTTCACATATAGTCAGCACGTCTTCCAGGTATAGCACCGTTTGCTTCCAGTGCGTGTTCCTTGACCTTGGCCCTGAATTGCAACAATATCAGCAGTTACTATGCATAAACCCATATTTGAGTAACCAAACAAAACCGTTATGTCCCACGGAGGTGGGGTTTGGAGGTAGGATGTACGCAAATCTGACCTCTACCACAAAGAGTAGAACAATTGTTTCCGTGAGGATGCCCAGCTTGTGCAAAGTGTGTGAAAAGAAAGGATAAAGTTTGCTCAAAAAAATTGCGGAAAAAATAACATAACTTAAAAATAAAATCAAAAGGGTCATCGACTCGATGGTACGTGGGTTACCGGTAGAGCCTAGCCTCCTTGAAAGTGTGCGTGAATATTTGCCGTATATAAATATTAGATTAAATTACGTTTTTCTTTCTTGTGGTTTGTTAAAAATTGCGATTTTCGTCCCTATGGTGCGTAATTCATTGCTATTTCCGTCTTTATGAGATACAATATTGTTGTTTCAGTCCCTCTGGTTTACCATTCTTTACTGTTTTGGTCCCTTGTACTTCTTGGTAGGAACTAGTCTAGGGACATAATTTGCAATAAATTGCAAACCATAGGGACTAAAATTGCAATGTATAAACCACAGGGACGAAAATCATAATTTACTCTAAATATTATAATCTTGAAAAGAACTAGTAAAAAAGAAAGACGGTGCTAAATTTTGAAAATGAGTTTAGAAGTAAGCAACAATGTTCAAAAACAAACATACGAACATAAGCAGGTACAAGAAAACACAACCAAGGTAGAAATAACTACACATCTCTAGTCTAACCTAGGACTCCGAAAATCTAACTGCCAGCAAAAGGTTTACACACTTGTAAGAAATAAACGAATGCAACAAGACTCACCTGTCGAGAACCCTGTCGTTTTGTGACATACGCTAAACAATACATCAAAGTATGCAACTAGAGCGTGAATGTAATCATCACGCTCAGCCACAAGCTTGAAGGGTGCTGTGAAGGAAGCATCCCCGGATGTCATTTTAGAGATATCCATGGTCTGTAGAAACGAGTTAAACATTGTCAGAAGGGTATATGAGCATCTAGGGTTCATCAACCCTACGCCCGCCAGCAATAGAGCCTAGCCTCCAGGGGGGGCAAGGGGGCAAAACTCGTGAGCATTTGTTGTATATAAATGTTATATGCTTAAAAAAAAGGAAAGAAACAAGTTCCGACTTGTTGCACTCACAAAAGTTAGGACAAAAAATCAAGGGATCGAAAGGAGTCCGTAGAACTTCTACCTTGAGTAATTGGCAATTGGTGACAATTTGATTCTGGTCAACTGTGTCAACAAGAGGCTCCATAATGGACTGCTTTCTGATGCAGCTCATGTCAAAGCCATACACGTTGTTCCAAACTGCAGATTCATAAGAACCCCGATGGGGAAATTTATATATATAATTCAACCAAGATGAGAACCATTTGAACAATCATTCGTACAGCAGAAAGTACGCCAGAGGTATCTTACATTCAATTTTGTCCTCTTTGTACTCGGCATCCTCAATTGCTGTCAAATAGAGAGAAGCATTATCAGGCAGCACAATTCCACTGCCAACCTGTGGAGAGCAAAAGAAGATTATGAAAGGAAACAAAAAACATCCAAAGAAGGTGAAGTTGAGCAACACCACATAAAAGCAACAATAAGTAATCTGTTGCTAGGGCTATATACACACCAATTCTGATTCAGGCAGAAGGTTGAAAAAGGTGGAATGGTTTAAAGATGAGAAACTTTGCATAAAGTTGGCCCAAACATCTTAATCACAAACATACAGGAACTACCAAGTTCATAATTAAGAGTATTATACCTAATTCTTCAAGGGTGCGTTTGGTACCCGGTCAGGCCCAAACGGAACATTTGTTCAGCATTTGGTAAAACAGGACTAGTAAAATGACCAATTTACTCCTAATGAGCTGTTTATATCTTTTCTATATTTTGATTAATTTATTGAATTATTATATTACAATAAAATAAACATTTTTTTGTAACAAAATATATCATTAGAAATTTTTTGTCAAGAGAATTAAAATAACACCAAAATATGAAGTTTATTAATTTCTAGTTTTTATTTTGTATCTTTTCTATGTTATTTTTTTATTACTAGTATTTAATAAATTACATATGAACCAAAATATACAAAACGTATAAAATTATATTTTTAGGACACTAAAGTGAGTTTAAAGAGGATAAAATACAACAAATAAACTTTTGAATATGAATAAAATGTAAAAGAGGGGGTGTATTTGATATTTTTGAAGAGAATTAGGTCTTATTTTTTGAGGGAATATTGATAAAATACAGGCTCGTTCCACCTTGTTCAATTGGGTTTTGGGTGGACCACGCATGTACCATATGGAAGTCATGTCAAGCACGGAACAGTGATCCCTGTTTTGTTTTGTCCTTATCACTGTGCCAAATGCACCCCAAAAGAACAAAAAAAAAGTTGTTCAATTATAAAGAGCATCTCCAAGAGATTCTCCAAAATGAAGAATCAAAACCCAAAATCTCCAAAAAAGAAATCACATTCAACTCCAACATATTCTCTACTTTGGAGATTACAATAGTAATTATATGATTAAAATATTTTATACATAAAATAAAGCATTATTTCTCTCTCATAAAAATTTAACATCAAGGTTTCTTATTGGGGGGAGGGGGAATATAATAAAAAAATGTCTTTCTCTCATGGTATCATTTTTAAGAAGTTACCCAAATTTGGAGAATTTCACCCTCTCTCATGCTTTCTCCATTTTGGAAGTTTTGGAGAATCCCTTGGAGCAAAAATCTCCATTTTCCCCATATTGGAGAATCTGTTGGAGGTACTCTAACCACCCCCCCCAACCCAAAAAAAAAAAAAAACCACCACCAAAAATAAAGAGGAGTTTCAATTCCATAATTGAAGTTCAAGTTATGAAGATTAAAGATGCATGTAACCAAGACTAATAAGCTTGAGAACATAGTGTCTATATCTCGGGAAACAAGAAAACAAAGACTTCAACTGTGAGGAGCAATTAACAAAAAAAATAACATCTATTAGACCTAATGCTACAAAATGACTAATAGGGAGTGTTCAAGCGAAGATAGATGCTAACAGGTATTAGAAATAAGCAAAAAGTGTTCAAAATGTAAGTTGATACTCACCAGCCACTTATCCCGAGCATATAAAACTGTATTTAACATGTTCTCATATAACAAAAAGTATCCCATCCATTCTGAAATAATAATATCCACTTGAGGAACCGGGAGGTCAATTTCTTCAATCTTTCCCTTCAAAACAGTTATAACTGCAATGTTGAGCAGAAAGAGGATGCATCAGTTCACCAACAAATCCTATGTGATAAATGATGTAGGAACTTAAATGTACAAATCCCATTACCGTCTGAAAAGCCATTTGCTTTAACAATCTCTTTTGCCATGTCAGCCATCTGTGAGCACTCGACCTGCAAACAAGAAAGTGGTGAGGCAGAAAAAATTGACAAGACAAAAACAGCCTAAAATCTTTAAAACGACATAAATCATACTGCAACACATCAAGCAACGAAAAATAAGCAATCTTTGATGAACTTTCTGATTCGGTACTGTCAAAACAAATAATATAAACTCGAACAAGGAGATGCCTTCGAGAAAAATACAATCAATTATTCAGTAAATAAGAAGAGACCACACTAGATTTTTCATCCATAGACCAGAGGGCATTGTATATCGCCTTGCTTTTCCATATAAGAAAAACGAAGAGAACAAATAGACCGAACCATCAATACATCCTTGATGAAGAAACAAATGTCACGTCTTATCTTGATATAATTAAAAAAAATCCCAATCACATGCAGCCATAGATCCATATATGGCGTTTCCCTAGGAAATGAAATGACATTAACAAACCATAAACCTTAGAAGTACTTCATTCACCTGCTCTGAACATTTACATTTGCTATATATAACACTGTCCTTTTAAATACTGTTTCAATAGTGACGAGACTCTAGGAAACAAAACCAATTAAAAATATCTAAGACTTATGCATTGACCAAAACTTGCAATTTACCATCTGACAACCAAGCTCAGTATGACAACCCATTTATATTGACAGAAAATACAACATTCTACATAACATATTAGGTTGCTTCTTGTACCAATGGGTTGTCCATGAAATGTTCACTCAATAAATGCTAGTTTGTTAAACATGAGAGAAAGAATGGCATACATACAGCATAAACATGCTTTGCCCCAGCTTTTGCACAAAAGAGAGATAGAATTCCCGTCCCAGCACCAACATCAAGAACAACTTTTCCCTTGAACAAAAATGTGTTCTTATAAATAACATTTTGGTAAGTCTTAGTTCTCACCACATCCTTCAGCATTTCCTGCAGATGAGAAGAGTATTAGGTCTCAATGGATTTCAAGAGAGCATGGATACCATCATAAACATCAACAATATTGCATTGATATAATTAACATCAATAACACACTTTCTCTTATTTGCATATACAAAACAGGTTCTCAATTTCTCATTTGAGGGTGCAGTTTATATGGGTAAAAAAACATCATTCATGTGTGGAGCAACTAATTGTTATGTTGCCTTTCAGGGAGATCCTATCAACTTACTTCATGAATACCTGCAAAAACAAAATCAAAGAAAGCAAAGCAAAGCGTCAAAAGAAACATTAAAAAAACACAAAAACAAGAAACACAGAAAGAACTTGGTTATTTGCTTTAACAAGTACCATATATACATACAAGGTACAAAATTTAAAACTCATTGAAATGTATCTACTAGCATGATAAAGATTCATATGGGATTGGCTTGTCACAAAGTTGAAATAAACATATAAAGAAACATTAACAAGAATCTCAAGCATATGAGTTACATATCATTCACAAGAGCCAATGACAACCAAAACAATAAAAACTTAATAGCATTTTCCTCTAGTTTTCTGGTTCCATACTTTCCTTTTAAGATCTTCAATTTCTATTCGGTCAAAATGCTCTAAAACAAGATTTCAACCACATCAACCAAACCCACAATACGTTTACAAGTTTAGATGAAACCCAAAGCTGAAAAACAATCCACTCACCATTCAAATTGTATGCATAATCAATTAATCATAAACATACACATAAAGAAAAATAGAGTGATTTGTAGTTTGATTATTACCGAAATGAGAGTAGGAATCGAAATAATAATCGGCGCTAGTCTTATCCGCGTCTCCAGGTTCGCACATGGAGGAATCCTCATCAAGATTGGAGCTTCCGGTGGCTGCTTCTTCAATTGTTTCATCGTCGTCTCCATATTCGAATCTACTCTTGGTTGGCCCAGCCTCATTCATGGTTGAATTTTGCATTGCTTGTAGAGTAGAGCTTTTTCAGGGTTTAGAGTAATCAGAATAAAAAAATGGAGGGAGGAGAGTTGCGATTTTTAGGGTTTACGAGTGATCCGTCATATCTTTGGAAATTATTCAATTAAATAATGTCAAATAGAGGGGAAAAAATTTGGTAGGCAAAAAAAATTGAATGTCTACTAGAAAAAAATGACATATATATAGGGTTGGGTTTACGTGAGACCAATGGTTTTTTGTGAGATCCGTAAAATTAATTTATATTCATTGATCAACTTTTTAAGTTAATGGTCTAAATTGTAAGGTGGTAATTTTGTGATTATTTGAGAAGTCTCATGGCATTTATGAATGTTCAGATTTTCAGATTGTAAATATAACCCAAGGGTTTAGAATTGGTTTTACAGTTCTCACGAAAAACCCTTGGTCCCACTGTCTTTGCCTAAATAAGTAAGTACGATATTTTTTTTATGGTATTTAATTCTTTTAAGAGATATTAAGTAGTGATGTTAGTATAACTTGGTTTGGTTATCTAATTTCATGTGTTTTTTGATCATTAACTATGAAAACAAAAAATAAATATAAAAGAAATTGAAGCTTTAAAATTCTAAAGCCCAAAAATTTTATGGGCTTCAGGCCCAATTCAAAAGGGCTACCAATTGAATTTATTTGGTTTGATGGAATTAGTGAGGGTCAAACCGGCCCGGTCTAGCTTGGGACCGATAAGAACCGGTTATAGGACCAAAATCTTGGACTGATTATGGATTTGGGGTGTTTCATGGAACGGGGACCGGTTATGGACCGGCCTGTTCTGACCCGATTTTTAAAAAATGTAGCTATTTTTTTTTAAATGTAACCGTTATTTTTCAAAAAACTAGTCTTTTTTGGCCGTTTTTTATATTTTTTGTTTTTCTAAACATTATATATAAGTGTCTTGGTTGATGGATTTACATACCAAGTTCTCGATTCGCAAAAAAACGTTCATAATTATCGGTTTCTCGCTGTATTGTGTAAGACAATGTAATTTTAATTATAATAAAACGCATTTTTAAAGTGTATTTGAATGACCCAATTATAAAATTTATAATGTATTAAAAATATATATCATTAAAAAAATTATTTTTTAATGACCAGGACCGGCGGCCCATAAACTGTTACAATAAAGCTTGACCGGGCTCAACTTTCACGTATTGGACCGGAACCGGGACCAGGACCGTTTACGCTGGGACCCAGGACCGGGACCGGTTATGGCCGGTTATGAGAAATCTTGAGACCGGTTGGGACCGCCCGGCCTAGCCCGATACCGGTTTTTGGCCATCACTAGATGGAATGTTTTTAAGAGATTAGGATTTTAATTCTATAGAAAGATTTGGAATCTTTCGTATGTTTGGTTTATAAGATTTAGAATAGAATTTAATTCAATTTTTATGAATAATTTATATCAACAAATCATAAAACCACTATGTTTATCAGAGTTGATTTTTTGCTGTTACAATTTGTCGGGATTAGTTTGGGCATAGACTAAGACACCCTCAAAAAAAACAAATCATAAAAATTATAAAAATAATTAAATTACATTTTTATTAATTGATTATTACAGAATGAGTGTTTTTAACATAATTTTAAACATTTTTGCAAACAAACCCTGGCGAAATACCGACTATCCACATGAAATTTCTAAATCTTGTTTTTGTGGTATTACATTGGAATCTCGGGATTTAAAATTCAACAATTTCTCCGAACCAAAATGAAATTCAGTTCTAAATCCCTTCAAATCCTATCAAATCATGCAAACCAAACGGACTCTTAGATCTTTTCAAAAACCGACTATCAGTTTAGTATAGTCAACTTCAAACCCGAGATTGGATCTGTCTTTTTTCATTTGTTTGAACTTGAAACAACGTCATTTTAGTTGTATATTCCTTTTTAAATTATGTAAACTTAGTTGGATCCCCGATAGACTCAAACCGGGGGACGGGGGATGTTACTCAAACTGGGGTCGAGGTCGAGGATCCCCGGTAGAATCAAACTAAATAATACTATTTATGGGGTTTGACCGGGGTTTTACAGAGTTTTGATCGAGGATTGCTAGAGATTTGACCGATAACGAGATGATAATCCCCGTACCCGCCAGGGCCGGGGGATGTTACTACAAACCGGGGTTGTGGCCAAGGATTACAAAACCCGGCCCGTTGCCATGTCTACTTTCACATAACTTTATCTAGAGGTGGTAATTTTGTATTAAATCAAACCAGTTATAATTGGTTGATAGTACCGTGTCAAGTATGTAAACTTAGTTGGTACATGATATTGAAAATTGTATATCACGGTAGTATCATGGTACCGACTTATTCAATTATTTAATATTTTTTATGTATGGATATTAAACATTGTAAATATAAATGTTTTGTTTGAACATTTCAACATAATATATGTTATTTGGAAACTCAAATGTCACTCAAAATTTCAAGAATATGCCAAAGTATGTAACCTGAAGTTGGTACCAAACCAATACCAACATGTAACAACCGAAAAAAAATTGGTACTAATTAAATTGGTACTGAATACAGTTGATTTGTACACAATATAAAGATATTACATATTAATTATAATTTATTGATACACGAAATTAAAAAAAAAATTGATACCATACCAAATCCACCCTTAATTTTTATCCCTTATTTCTTTTATTATTTAAATCATAATTTGAGAAACTTGTTTTCAAAAGCTCAGTTCAATATTTATACCAAAACATTTTTAACAAGAAATTTTAAAATGTATTTTTCTTAAGAAGTTATAATATATTTTTTATTAACATGTTTAAATAAAAAGATTAAAAATATAAGGAAAATATTTATTTGAAGATGCATATATGATCCGACGTTAAGATTATTCATATATGTTCACGTGTGTGTGGTGTGTATGTATGCATAGACTTGAGATTTCGTGAGACCAGTCTGTTTTCGTAAGACCCTTGAGACCATTTTTTTATATTTGAAACTTCACAGTAAAATACTGTGAAGGTAACCTTTATAGTGTTTTTGCTGTAAAGGTTCGATTTTTTTTTTTACATTCACAGTTTTTTTATGTGAAGTTTCAAGTGTAAAAAAGTGGTATCATGGGTCTTACGAAAACATTTTGGTCTCACGTGAACTCAACCCTATATATATATATATATATATATATATAGGAGTGATCATATGAAAACCATCCTCATTTGTGTAAACCATGCAAACCACCTTCATCTGTCGATTTCATTGTTTAATCTTATGAAATTTTTTCATGAAATTGTTTAATCTTGTGAAATTGTTTCATATAATACTTTTTTGATGAAGTTGTT